CAGCGGCTGAGATTCGATGAGATAGCGCCGCTCTAGCGTCGGTTCGCGTCGATTTAGCATCGACATGCGTCGACTAGCGTCGAGGGTCCGAGGCTGGAGTGGTACACATTCCAGGGGTGGACCTAAACGGTGCTTTGGCGATTTCGTGGGCCGTTTTCGCTTCGGTGTCGCTTTGCAGCACATGCAGATTTAAGACACAACGTGGAAGCACGAACACAATACGAGAAGGACAACCACTGTTTAGGTCGAGCCCTGACATATCCACCATATTTGGCACCGATGCTCCAGGACCCAGTTTCAGTACGATCGACATGGCTACGCTGCATCTTCGGGGGACCCTGTCTGTCCTGCAAATGGCAGTCGTCTCTGGCATCCGACTCGGATTCGACCTGCACTCGACGCGGATTCGACGTGGACTTGACGCGGATTCGACACGTGCGACGTGTATTGGAAGCATGTTCGGCGCGGATAGCGACGCGACGGGGCAGACAAGGTACCCCGAAGATGCAGCACACTTTTCTCCGTCGGCGGCGAGGCGGAGGCGGTCCGCATCAGCGAGTGGCGATTGGACAGCGTGCACGAGAGGGAAAACGTGACAGACAAAACGGCCGCAGAGGAAGGGAGACGGCGGAGGGCACTCAGATGTGGAATGATTCCACCCCGAGCGCGCTGGCGCGGCCAGCAGCGGCAGCGGGGACCGTGGCAGCAGCCAGGCCGCGGCGTCGGTGCATCCACGGGCGCTGCCGATGCCCAATGCACAAACATGGGTGCGGCAAGAACGGATACGCATACTCTCAGCAGTTCCTGCACACCTTGAGCGGAACTCGCTCTCGCTTCCGCCGCGGGCGTTGCCCATGTGAGGCAGAAGGTCGCGTGCCAAACAGCGGCCGCTGTCGGTGACTTTCATACGCTTTGGGGCCGATTCGTATCGTCCCATTCTGCACTCCGTGCTCCAGGCCTCCGCGTGCAGCTCTCTGACGATTGTCGAGTGGATCGGCATCGATGGTTTAACCTGCATTTCAGCCGACCCGCATATTAAGGATGGGCAAAGGTACCCTTGCACCCTTGCCCCTGCGGCCACTTCGGCCCATCCTTGGCGACTTTCGCCGGCCAACCTCGTGCGAAAAGCGTTCACGTGGGCTTCAATGCCCCTGCATCCTTACCGCGCATCCTTATGATACGGGCTGGGGTCGCTTCCCTACGCTTGGGGTGGAGTCGTAGCGTCCCACTTTGCACTCCGTGCTCCAGGCTTCCGCGTGCAGCTCTCTGACGACAGTCGGGTGGATCGGCGCCGATGGTTTAATTTGCATGTATTACATTGGAAACCCATGGCAAAACAACACCGTGCTTGCCTCCAGGGTGCTCTCGGTTTCTTGGGTTCCGATGGTTTTGCTATGGAGATCGCGGCGTTCCCACATCAAGACTCAGTCCTGGGATTTCACGGCTGGGTTTCTGGTGGAAGATTTCTTGTGGTCGAGCTCCTACTGTACCATCGGTCCGACATCGTCGTCGTGAGAAAAGACAGCGGCCGCTTTTTTTTTTTGGGGGGGGGGGGTGGAGGGCAATTATGTTTACCGCGTCCATGCTGGGTGTGCATAGCGCACTGGATGCACGGAGCCCTTTCGGGCCTCCCAGAAATCCAGGGAGTCCCACCACATTTGTTGCCCTCTGGGGCCGCCTTGTGCGGGCCCCCCTGATTTTCACCACCACCGCCACCACCTTCCCCCCCTCCCTCTGGCATCCTCTTCCCGTCTCCTCCTCTGGGCCAGGAACGGGGTGAAACCACTGCGACACCACGAGATAGGAAATGTGTTTTTTCGCCAGCCTCGCTGGGAAAGGGGGGCGCCCGGGACCTGCTGGAGCGTCGGTGCACATGCCTGAGCCTCGATCGTGCGAGGGAGGCGGCGGTGGTGTATGCTCGTGGGCCGTGCACCTTGGGACCTCAGCTCCCCCGGCGGTGGCCCCGTGTAAGGTCCGGCGGCCAGAGAGCAGGAGTGATGGGCCTGTTTTCCACCACCACCACCAGAAGTTTGAGGGGCAAGGGGTTGGAGGAGGAGGAGGAGGAGGAGGAGGAGGAGGAGGAGGAGGAGGAGGAGGAGGAGGAGGAGGAGGAGGAGGAGGAGGAGGAGGAGGAGGAGGAGGAGGAGGAGGAGGAGGAGGAGGAGGAGGAGGAGGAGGAGGAGGAGGAGGGAGGACCCGAGAGAAAAGATGTGGAGGAGGAGGAGAGGAAAAGAGGAGCCATGAGGTGGAGGAGGAGGAGGAGGGGAGGAAGGAGGAGGGAGGAGGAGGAGGAGGAGGAGGGAGGATAGGAGGAGGAGGATGGGGAGGATCATGAAGATGGGGATGAGGAATGAGGTTAGGGATTGAGGATGAGGTGAGGCTGAGATGGCAGGAGGGGAGGAGGGAGGAGAGAGGAGGGAGGAGGAGGAGGAGGATGAATGGTGGAGGAGGAAAAAAGAGGAGGCATGAGGAGGAGTGGAGGATGAGGAGGAGGATGAGGTCAAAAGAGGAGAAGAGGTGGAGGAAAGAGGGAGGAGGAGGGGGGAGGAGGAGAAGGGGAGGGGAGGAGGAGGGGTGGAGGTGGAAACCAGGGAGGGGGGCAGGAGGAGGAGGTGGAGAAGGAGGAGGGGGAGGAGGAGTGAGGAGGAGGAAGAGGAGGAGGAGGAGGAGGAGGAGGAGGGAGGAGGAGGAGGAGGAGGCGAGGAGGAGGAGGAGGATGTGGGAGGAGGAGGATGAGGAGGGATGGGGAGGTATGAGGAGGATCAGGAGGAGGAGGAGGAGGCGAGGTGGAGGGAGGAGGAGGAGGAGGAGGAGGATTGAGGGTGGAGGTTGAGGATGGGATGGAGGATGAGGATGAGGAGTGCGGGAGGAGGAGGAGGAGGAGTGGAGGAGGAGGAGGTGGAGGAGGAGGAAAAAGAGAGGAGTATGAGGTTGGAGGAGGAAAAAGAGGCGGACGGGGAGGTATGGGGGAGTTATGAGGAGGAGGTGAGGAGAATCGAGGAGGAGGAGGAGGACGAGGAGGAGGATGATGAGGAGGAGGACCTCCTCCCTCTCCTACTCATGGTGGTGGCGGTGGAAAACAAGCCCACCAGAGAGTGGCGAGGGGCCTCTGGGATCGAGGGTCGCGAGGGGCGCCGGGCGTCCTCGGGGACCTCGGGCCCTCGGGTGGCCTCTTCGGGCCGCGGCCGGATCCGCTCCTCCTTCCTCCTCCTCCTTCTCCCTTCACCTCATCCTCCTCCTCCTCCTCCTCCTCCTCCTCCACCTCCTCCTCCTTCTCCTCCCCCCACCTCCTCCTCCCTCCTCCTCCTCTCCTCCTCCCTCTCCTCCTCCTCCTCCTCCTCCCTCCTCCTCCTCCTCCTCCGTCCTCCTCCTCCTCTCCTCCTCCTCCTCCTCCTCCTCCTTCTCTTCCTCCTCCTCCTCCTCCTCCTCCTCCCCTTTTCCCCTGGCGGATGACATGTGTGGAGCAGGCCGGGAGAGACTCGGGGGCGCGGGGACGGCGGCGGAGGAGCCGCATCCCGCGGGCCCCTCCGCAGGATTATGGGCCGCTTGCCGAGCTGACGGGCACGGACGGCGCGCATAGGTACACGCAGGACCTTCGCGGCTCGGAGGAGGAGGGGGAGGAGGAGGAGGAGGAGGAGGAGGAGGAAAAGGAGGGGGAGGGAGCAGGAGGAGGAGGAGGAGGAGGAGGAGGAGGAGGAGGAGGAGGTGGAGGCGGAGGACCAGGGTAAACCCAATGCTCATCAACGATGTTGCAAGGAATCCTCCCTCGAAGTTCCCTATTCACATGTCCCTGCAAGTATTTATTTTTACTGCGGGAAGTGCCCCGATGGAAGACAACCGTCTGAATATCTTCAACACCACGAATCAAGATTACTGGTGCGTCCTGACGATCCCGAATCGCGCCTGAGCATCCTTCCTGGGGCTTAACGCCTTAAAACAACGTGGCTGTCGCGCCCTGGCAATCCTAAGTCGTGCCAGAACGCCGTTTCTGGGATGTCAGCCACAACATCTTTGACGTTGATGGTAACTGTTAGGACGAATGTGCTCGGCGATACAGCGAGAACTACATGTTGAGAACGAACCGCCCTCCATCCGTGAAATTCTTGCAAACTTTGAGACGATTGAGCGCGGCGCCAGGGCGAGAAAGGCATTTTGAAAACGACCCGCCCTCCATCCGTGAAGCTCTTGCGAACTTCTAAGACGAATGTGCGCGGCGATGCAGCGAGAGCCACATTTTGAGAACCACCCGCCCTCCGTGCGTGAAGCTCTTCCAAGTTGAAAGCTTCAGGATCGTAACTCTGAGGAAGCATCAGGCGTATCGGGGTGCGGCATGGAGGAGTTATTGTGAAGGCCTTGCGGCTGGTGCCGCCGACCCTGAAGAAGACGACGAGGAGGAGGATGAGGAGGATGAGGAGGAGGAGGGGGAGGAGCAGGACACACCAGGCCCCTCACGGACGGACCTGTGAAGCAGGAACCTGCCGTTTGAACGATTCTCCGTCTTCTCCTTGCCCCCACTTGCGCAAACCTCTGCCGCGCGGCAGAGGGAGGGCCCTCGCATAGCTCTCTTTCGCTCGCGGGGCGTCTTGCTCCCCGCCTACTGGTGCGATTGATGGGCGGAGTTTTTCCACCGCCACTACGGTAGGTAGAACGGGGGAGAAGGGAGGATGGGGAAGTCCTCCTCCTCCCCTTCCTCCTTGTCTCCTTCCGTAGCCATTTTGGCTCAAGCCGCATGCTAGATCGGGGCCCCCGGCGCGCCCTACTCTCTGCCGCATGTGTTTGGCTGCTGGCACCGCTCTCGTGGCGTGCATGGCTCAGTGCAGGTGACATGGTCCATCAACGTTCCGCTGCTGCGCGTGCCGATCGGGCTCGTCGTGCTC